ACATGTACAGGAAGGATAAACACCAAATTTAGAATAGCTGCTATCTTCGTGGGATGAGTATACAAAGGTCGTCAATTGAACCTTAGTAATTTTATTTGAGTTTTGAGGAGGGAATCTAAGTATTTATTATATTGTTCCCCTTCTTGTTTGTCTGAAATACATTTTTAAAAGGGAAGCATGGAGCCAAGCACAAATGCACACATCTGGAGTCCCAGCTACTTGGTAAGCAGAGGCAGGAGGACATCTTAAGCCCACAAGTTCAAGGATATAGTGTATGCTGTAATTGTGCCTGTGAATAGCCACTGAACTCAAGCCTGGGCAGCATTGCCAGATGCTGTCTCTAATTTTAAAAAAAGAAAAATGCATTTGGAAAATAATTTCAGAGGATAAAGTGTACTCAATCCACCCTCACCCTTCTAGAGTGCCTTATCAGGGGCAGTCTCATCAGTTTTGCCTGTATCTTATACATTTTTTTTTTTGATATGGAGTCTCGCTCTGTCGCCCAGAGTGGTGTGCAGTGGTGCGATCTTGGCTCACTGCAACCTCTGCCTCCTGGGTTCAAGCAGTTCTCTGCCTCAGCCTTCTGAGTAGCTGAGATTATAGGTGCCCACCATTACACCTGGCTAATTTTTGTATTTTTAATAGAGATGGGGTTTCGCCATCTTGGCCAGGCTGGTCTTGAACTCCTGACCTCGTGATCCACCCCCTCGGCTTCCCAAAGTGCTGAGATACAGGCGTGAGCCAGCACGCCCGGCCACATTTTTTTCTTTATAAAGAGAGAGGATGGTTTCCCTATGTTGCCCAGGCTGGCTTCGAATTCCTGAGCTCAGGCAATCCTCCAGACCTCAGCTTTGGGAGACTGCAGACACAGGCTACTGCTCCTGTCTTTTTGGGCATTTTCTCTAGTGCATAGAAGCATATATGGGAGTTGGGGGACTTTTTGGGGTGGGGGTTCCTGTTTGTTTTGCACAAGTGAACCTACTATATATGGTCCTGCACCTTGGGTGATGTAATTTTTGACCTCATTAAAATGTTTTGCAAACTTCATTAATCTCTAGCCCTGTGAAACAATATAATTTATCTGGCAAAATAGCCTTAGGGTTGCTTCTGAATTGATGTGATGTAGGTAATGGCTACCCAGGTCGTGTTTGCCTTTTTCTTTTTAGCACATCTTCACATGTCAAAAACAAAAAACATGGCCAGGTGCAGTGGCTCACCCCTGTAATCCCAGCACTTTGGGAGGCCAAGGTGGGTGGATCTCTTGAGATCAGGAGTTTGAGACCAGCCTGGCCAACATGGTGAAACCCCGATTCTACTAAAAATACAAAATAGGCAGGTGTGGTGGCACACACCTCTAATCATAGCTACTTGGGAGGCTGAGGCAGGAGAATCCCTTGAACTCAGGAGGCGGAGGTTGCAGTGAGCCAAAATTGCGCCATTGCTCTCCAGCCTGGGCAACAGAGTGAGACTCTCTCAAAAACAAAGAAAAAAACCAAAAACCTCTTCTGCGGTTAACCCTGTGAGCATGCAGGAAAAAAGAGTCACAGCAAGTAGAGTGTTCTCTGGAACTGCTTTACCCTTTTTCAAAACGTTTTTACTCCTACACTACAGGTAAAATTCCACAGATAATCCACCATAGATTTTTTTTTTTTTTTGTATTTATTTATTTGAGACGAAGTCTCACTCTGTCGCTGGGCTGGAGTGCAGTGGTGCAATCTCGGCTCACTGCAACCTCTACCTCCCAGGTTCAAGAGATTCTCTTGCCTCAGCCTCCCAAGTAGCTGGGTCTACAGGTGTGTGTGACCACGCCCGGCTATTTTTTATATTTTTAGTAAAGATGATTTTTTTTGTTTTTTTATTTTTATTTTTGAGACAGAGTTTCTCTCATTACCCAGGCTGGAGTGCAATGGCACGATCGCGGCTCACTGCAACCTCCACCTCCCGGGTTCAAGCAATTCTCCTGTCTCAGCCTCCCGAGTAGCGGGGACTACAGGTGTGCGCCACCATGCCCAGCTAATTTTTTTTTTTTTTTTTTTGAGTCGGAGTTTCGCTCTTGTTACCCAGGCTGGAGTGCAATGGCGCAATCTCGGCTCACCGCAACCTCCGCCTCCTGGGTTCAGGCAATTCTCCTGCCTCAGCCTCCTGAGTAGCTGGGATTACAGGCACGCGCCACCATGCCCAGCTGATTTTTTGTATTTTTAGTAGAGACGGGGTTTCACCATGTTGACCAGGATGGTCTCGATCTCTTGACCTCGTGATCCACCCGCCTCGGCCTCCCAAAGTGCTGGGATTACAGGCGTGAGCCACCGCGCCCGGCAATTTTTGTATTTTTAGTAGAGACGGGGTTTCACCTTGTTGACCAGGATGGTCTCGATCAATTGACCTCGTGATCCACCCACCTCGGCCTCCCAAAGTGCTGGGATTACAGGCGTGAGCCACCGCACGCGGCTATTTTTATTTTTTAAGACGGGGTTTCACCATGTAGGTCAGGCTGGTCTTGGAACTCCCGACCTCAGGTGATCCACCCGCCTTGGCCTCCAAAGTGCTTGGATTACAGGTGTTAGCCACCACACCTAGCCAAGATGGCGTTTTACCATGTTGGCCAGGATGGTCTCGATCTCCTGACCTCATGATCTGCCCACCTCAGCCTCCTAAAGTGCCGGGATTACAGACATGAGCCACTGCACCTAGTCTATTTATTTTATTTTATTTTTAAACAGAGTTTCATTCAAGAATGAAACTGGAGTGTAATGGTGCGATCTCATCTCACTGCAACCTCTGCCTCCTGAGTTCAAGTAATTATCCTGCCTCAGCCTCTCGAGTAGCTGGGATTACAGGTGTGCACTACCATGCCCAGCTAATTTCTACATTTTTAGTAGAGATGGGGTTTTATCCTGCTGGCCAAGCTGGTCTCTGAATAGCTGGGATTACAGGTATGCACCACCACACCTGGCTCATTTTTATATTTTAGTAGATATGGGGCTTCACCATGTTGGCCAAGCCTGTCTCGAACTCCTGACCTCAGGTGATCCACCCATCTTGGCCTCCCAAAGTGCTGTAATTACTGATGTGAGCCACTGTGCCCAGGCTCATGGCTTGAAATTAACTTATTGTTGTGTAATATGGGCAAAATGAAAGAGGTTGGGACTTATTTTTTTCCGATTGTAGGAAAATGTATAGTTTCTAGGGATAACAAGGGAAGAGAAGCTTGTTTGATTCTAGTTAGGAGAAAGCAATTGTTTCACTTAATCCTTATTTTACATCTACTAAAAGCCCAGGACATATTTTCCTATTTATTTGTTTGTTTATGAGGCAGAGTCTCACTCTGTTGCCCAGGCTGGAGAGCAGCGGCACAAACACTGCTAAGTGCAGCCTCAACCTCCTGGTCTCAAATGATCCTCCCACTTACGCCTCCCAAGTAGCTGGAACTACAGGCATGTGCCACCACACCTGGCTAATTTTTAAATTTTTCTTGTGTAGGAATAAAGCCTTGCTATGTTGGCCAGATTGTTTTCAAATTCCTGGACTCAAGCACTCCTCCCACCTCCACCTCCACCTCCCAAAGTGCTGGGATTACACATGTGAGCCACTGTGCCTGGCCAATCCTGGCACTTTGGGAGGTGGAGGTAGGAGGATCACTTGAACCCAAGAGTTCGAGACAAGCCTGGACAACATAGTAAGACTTGCTTCTATCTTAAAACAACAAAATGAGGCCGGGTGCCGTCGCTCACACCTGTAATCCCAGCACTTTGGAAGGCCGAGGCGGGCGTCCCACCCGTGCCCAGGACCATGGCCACTGACTCATGGGTCAGGAGATGGAGACTATCGTAGCCAACATGGTGAAACCTTGTCTCTACTAAAAATACAAAAATTAGCTGGATGTGGTGGCACACACTTGTAATCCCAGCTACTTGGGAGGGTGAGGCAGGAGAATTGCTTGAACCTGGGACATGGAGGTTCCAGTGAGCTGAGATGGAGCCGCTGCACTCCAGCCTGGCAAAAGAGCAAGACTATGTCTCAAAAAAACAAAACAAACAAAAAAACCCACACAAGTGCTGAGATTACAGGTGTGAGCAACCACACCTAGCTCTATTTAGTAATTTTACTATTTTAATTTAATATTTTATGTTTTGGAGACAGGGTTTCCCTCTGTCATCCAGGCTAGAGTGCAGTGGTACTATCATGGTTCGCTGCAGCCTTGACCTACCAGGCTCAAGTGATGCTTCCACCTCGGCCTCAAAAAGTTCTGGGATTACATGCACGAGCCACCACAACTGGCTGTTTTCTTCCTTACATAGGCGAATTGCAGTTCCTCTTCTTGGGATACCAATTTTTGAATGCAGGTGCGATTTTGTTACATGCATAGGACTGCATCGTGGTCAACTCAAGTGAGCTGAGATTCTAACACAGGTCAGCTAAGTCTAAAAGTCACGCATTTACTCCTTAGACTGCTCTGCTTGGCCCTTTTCATGCCTGGTTCTTGTCGATTCTCCCAGGAGCTGTGTCTTTTCAGTTCCACAGCTCTCCTTGCTCTTTCTTGTCTCTGATGCTCTACTGGAACACTTTGCCCTGGCACCTTCCTTGAGTATTTTCAAAACTAAATTCCTGTAAGTGGTATTGTTACATTGTCAGTGGGACAGGCTTTTAACCAAATGGCTTGCTTGACAGGGCTGATTGCCAACACCTGGACATTTTAAATTACCAATGTGAAAATCAGGGAAATAGCTCTCTGCTTGTTTTGCGTTTTGGTGACTATTGGTAATGGTTTTCTGTTTTGATGTATTTAATCAGTGGTAGTGCCTTCTCTGCCACTGTGTTGGGCGGGAATCTGATTTTGTTCTTTGGTTAGAGAGCCAAGCTGACCAGAGGTTAGGCATTTTAGGATAACTATCTCAGCTCAATAGGAAAGCCTGCCCTGCCCGCGGTTGAGTCTGAGGGTGACAGAGCAACAGCCCAAAGTGGGCAAGGGGTGGCCAAACAGGAGCGGCCTCCGACGTCATTGTTGCGCGCCGCTTCCGGTCTGGAGCTTTGTAGTGGGGCTGGAGCAGAGCCTGCCGTGAACCCCCGAAACCTCCCATCAGCACACCGTGCCATCCCTCGAATCCGCCAGGCCGAGTGTCCCACCCGCGCCCGGGACCATGGCCACTGACTCATGGGCCCTCGCGGTCGATGAGCAGGAAGCGGCGGCCGAGTCGGTGAGTTGGCTTCAGCCCTGAAAGGATCAAGGGACTAGTTCTGGCTGGGTATTTGATCCCTGCGAAAGGATGCTTCCTAGGTTGATTAGAGCCAGGATGGGGTGGTGGGAGGATAGGGATGGAGCCCGGACCCCGAGCTGGCTTTGTTTACGCCGCCGCCTCCGCGTTACGTAAGTACAGGTGAGTGCTCCTATCGCTAAAGTGGTCAGCCGCCTGTCAGTCTTCCTGGAACCAGGAATGATCATAGTTTACACTCATCACCCTAGATTGTGTTTTGTTTGTTTGCTTTTAATTGAAATAAAACATGGTCTTGCTAGGTTTCCCAGGCTGGTCTGGAACTCCTGGCCTCAGGCAATCTTCCTAAATAGCCATTTTAGGTGTCATTTTCCACCTCTGCATTCAGAGCTTCTTTGGCTCAGGGACCATGTCTTTGCTCATAGTTGTCTGCTTACACAGTGATGAATGATGGACCCAGTAGGTCTGGCAGTCAGCAATTCCTTTTCTCACCCGCTTCACTTTGTTCTTTTTTCTGGGCGTGACACATGGTAAGCAAGATATGTATTAAACACTACTGCATAGAATTAATTTCTCCCAAGGAAACATTTTAAATTTTAGTAGGCTTTGAACCTACTTCTTTTAGTACTTATTTCTATGACTTCCTCAAGAATGAGAACTTTGTCTTTTATTTTTTATAGCTGATTAAAAAGTAAGTTGTGTATACACATCGTTTAAAGGTCAAGTGATTTTAAAAACAATGGTTCCTGCCATTTTTTTTCTCCCCAGAGGTAACTCCTTATTTGTGGAGACAGGGTCACACTCTGTTGCCCTGGCTGGGGTGCAGTGGAGTGATCTTGGCTCACTACAATCTCTGTCTCCTGGGCTCAAGCCATATCTTCCCACCTCAGCCTCCTGTGTAACTGGGACTGCAGGCATGTACCACTATGCCTAATTTTTTTGTTTTTTTTTTTTGGTAGAGATGGGGTCTTGCCATGTTGCCCAGGCTGGTCTCGACCTCCTGGGTGCAAGTGATCTATGTACCTCAGCTTCCCAAAGTACTGGAATTACAGGTGTGAGCCACCATGCCCGGCCTCTTTTTTTTTCTTTCTTCATATATATTTTTTGAGAGAGCATCTCGCTCTGTCACCTAGGCTGGAGTGTATTAGCACAATCTTTTGCTAACTAAAACCTTGGTCTTCCAGGCTCAAGTGATCCTCCCACTTCAGCCTCCTGAGTAGCCAGGACTACAAGCATGTGCCACCATGCGCAGCTAACTTTTTAATTTTTTGTGAAGATGAGGTCTCACTATATTACCCAGGTTGGTCTCGACCTCCTGGGCTCAAGCCAAGCTCCGACCTTGGCCTCCCAGTGTTGGGATTACATGCGTGAGCCACTTCACCTGGACTTTTACTTTTCTATAATATTTATTTTACTTGGATTTTTTTTTTTTTTTCAGAGTCTCACTCTGTAGCCCAGGCTGGGGTACAGTGGCACAATCTCCTCTCACTGCAACCCCCACCTCCCAGGTCCCGGTTCAAGCAATTCTCCTGCCTCAGCCTCCCAAGTAGCTGGGATTAAAGGCAGATGCCACCATGCCCAATTAATTTTTTGTAGTTTTAGTAGAGACGGGGTTTTGCCATGTTGGCCAGGCTGGTCTCGAAATCCTGACCTCATGATCCACCTGCCTTAGCCTCCCAAAGTGCTGGGATTACAGGCATGAGCCACTGTGCCAGGCTACTTGGAATTCTTAATTGCCTCACGTTTTTGCTTTTTTTTTTTCTTAGTTATCAATTCAACCCCAAACTCTCTTCCAGTTGTCTAAGTTTAATCTCAGGATGCTTAGACTCATCAAATATTCTAACAATTCTATTTCTCCCAGGCCTTTTAGGTCTGCTTCAAATTGGACTAGTTACTCCTGTCTTTAGAGCACAGTTCATATTGAAGGATAGAGGGGAACAGAGCAAATTTCCCTTCAGCCTCATTCTGCAGATTTCTTCTTCCTTTCTCTTGTCTTTTGGTTCTCCTGGATTCCTTCCTTTCTATACCCCCACTCTTCATCTCTCTTGATTTATTACTTATTTTAGTGCAGTCATCTGTCAGCTTTCTGGAGGTGTATGGGAAGTAAATTACCTTAAGAATATTGAATGTCTTAAAAAAATCTTATTTTGCCCTGTAATTTTGATAATAGTTTAGCTGGGTATAGAATTGTAGGTTGAAAATTATTTTCTTGCCAAATTTTAAAAGTATTGTTCCATTGCCTTCTAGATTTCTGTATTTGTTGTTGCAATGTTTGAGACCATCCTGATTCTTGATATGACTTGTTTTCCCCTTTCTAATTCTGGAGAATCTTCTGTTTGTCTTAAATATTCAGAAAATTCATGGTGACATGTCTTGGTATGGGTGTATTTTCATCCATATTACTGGCTCCTGGGTATGGGTACTTTCAATCTGAAAAACTCTTATTCTTCAGTTATGAGAACTTTCCTTGAATAATTTCATTGTTGATTTCTTCTCCTTTTGTTTTTTCTTAATTCCCTGTTTTCCAGAGCTCGCTCGCTCGCTCTTTTTTTTTTAAGACAGGATCTCTCTGTGTTGCCCAGTCTGGAGTACAGTAGCTATTCACAGGCACAATCATAGTGTACTACAACCTTGAACTCCTGGGCTCAAGGGATCCTCCTGCCTCAGCCTCCCTAGTAGCTGGGACTCCTGGTGTATACCACTGCATGGCTTTTCCCAGAACTCTTATTAGATGAATGTTAGATCTGTTGGATTGGCCCTTTAATTTTTTTTTTTTTTTTTTTTTTTTTTTTGGCGGTGGGGGATGAAGTTTCACTCTTGTCCCCCATGCTGGAGTGCAAAGGCTTGATCTTGGCTCACTGCAACATCTGCCTCTTGAGTTCAAGTGATTCTCCTGCCTCAGCCTCCTGAGTAGCTGGGATTACAGGCATGTACCACCATGCCCGGCTAATTTTTGTATTTTCAGTAGAGACGGGGTTTAACCATGTTGGCCAGGCTGGTCTCAAACTCCTGACCTCAAGTGATCGGCCTGCCTCGGCCTCCCAAAGTGCTAGGATTACAGGCATGAGGCAACGGTGCCCAGCCAGCCCTTTAATTTTTTAAAAGTCAGGCTTGTGGAGGTATAATTTACATAGAGTAAAATTAAACTTTGTTAGTTAACAGTTGAATATATTTTGACAAAAGCATACAGTTGCTGTAACCACCACCACAGTTAACACATAAATCATCTCTACAAAGAACTATAGCTTCTTGTAGTTCGCTCCCACTTTTCACCCTTCTCTGGCAACTGCTGATATGTTTTCTGTCATTATAGTTTTGCCTTTTCCAAGATGTCATAAAATGGAATCATATCATATGTAACCTTTTGAAAAGTCTGGCTGCTTCCACTTAGTAGTATGGATTTGGAATTCAACCAAGTTGCATGTGTCGTAGTCTTTTGCTTTTTATTGCTGAGTAGAATTGCATTGTGGATACACACAGTTTGCTTATTCTTCTTTTGATGGCCTCTTGGGTATTTTTCAGTCTGAGACAATTATGAAGAAAGCTACTCTATAAATTAAGGTACAGATTTTTGTATGGACATATGTTTGCTTTTCTCTTGGGTACAGTCAATACTGAAGAGTAGGATTTACTGCATTATGTGGTGTGTAACTTTATATGCAAAACTGTTTTCCAAAGTGTACCATTTTGAATTCCCAATAGCAGTGGATGAGAGCTTCAAATTCCCCACATGCAGCACAGAATTGTCACAGTTTCTTTCATTCTTTTTTTTTTGAGACGGAGTTTCGCTCTTGTTACCCAGACTGGAGTGCAATGGCGCGATCTCGGCTCACCGCAACCTCCGCCTCCTGGGTTCAGGCAATTCTCCTGCCTCAGCCTCCT